TGTCGTTAGGAGCACTTTCTTAAATTGACAGGACTAATCTGTGTACCACATGAGCACATAGCCAGTCCGGGTTTTTTTTTTTTTTATTTAAATATTTTATTAAATTTTCCGATTACCATTTTATGTACAAAAGCCAATAAAACAGACAAATATAAAAAACGATTCTCAGATTTGTGTGCCCTTATATCAAAATATTACCATTAATCTTAGTAACCTTTTACCCCTCTCCCTCTCCCCTCCCTCCTTACCCTCTTCCCAAACCAAACCCCCCCCCCCCCCCCCCACTCAGCCCTGACTATGCATTTTCCTACTCTTTCAATAATTCCTATTCCGAGAGTAATACTACTTTAATAATACAGTTATCCCCCGTACCTTCTTTTCCCTATTGTACATATTCTAGGTATAGGTTTGATTTTTTAAATTCTTCCCACTTTTTCCACCTCATACGGAAAACCTCCAATTTTATCTTCCTCCATATGGTAAAGTTCCTCCAGTCTATACGTCTTCTCCACCCTATCCACCCAATCCTTTATTTTCAGTACTTGTTGTTCCCTCCAAAATTTGGGTATCAGGCCCTTCGCTGCATTCAGATAATACAATAGCCCAGATTTTTATATTTTTTTACTGAAAGCTAGGTGCCATAGAAAAGACAGGTCTCTGGGTCCTTTGGGATATTAATCTCCGTTATTTCCTGGATTAAACGTACAATACCCCCCAGTATTCTTGGATTTTAGAACACTCTCACCATAAGTGAAACATTGTGCCTCTCTTTCCATATCCACGCCAACATAAAGGTGAATTGTCTCCACTTATTCTATGTGCTACACTCGGTGTAATATACCATCTTACTAAACACTTGTAATTCATTTCAACCTCTTTCATATGTACAATCCCGTGAATTAAACTATACATTTTTCTTTGCTTTCCCTCAGCAATTGTTACTCCTAAATCCCTTTCCCATCTCTCTATAAATGGTGGTCCTTTAACCATGACTAGTCCTGTGAGAATCTTATATATTTTTGAAATCCCGTGTTTCCCATCTCCCCGTGTATCTAATAAGTGCTCGAAGGGGTTCCAATCCTCTTTTTTTTTTAATGGCTTTAGGAGGTTCCCTATAAAGTGTTTTAGTTGACCATAACGCCATTCATCCATTCTCGAGAATATTTCCCTCTTACTTTCTAGTTCACTAAGTAAGCATATTTCCTCTCCCATCATCATATCTCTTTGTTGTACATAATTCTACTTTATCCACTTCCATGTGATACTTTCTTTATCTGGAGGGAAAAACTCTGTGGATCCTAGAGGCATTAACAGTGAATTAAATTCCCGCCCTATTTGTTTATGCAAAACATCCCCTATTCTTAAAATATTACGTGTAAACAAACTTGTGTTCTCTGTTAATTCATGATATTGAGGAGGTAACCAAATAATTCTACTTAATTTCGTATAACTTAGCATATTTTCTATTTTTACCCAACTTTTCCCCTGTGCATTATATGTCCAGTCATAAATTCTGGCTAATATTACTGAATTATAATATCTTTTCAGGTCTGGTACTCCCAAGCCACCTCTTTATCACTACTTAGAGGTTCATATTCTTATTCTAGGCTTCTTGCTCCTCCAGATAAATCTTGATATAATTTTTTTAATTATTCTAAAGTACCCCTCTGGTAATTTATTTGGTATCATTTGAAATGTGTATAGAATTTTTTGAACAATTACCATTTTTATCAGGTTTATCCGTCCAACCCATGACTGAAATCCCCATCCTAGTTTCTTTACGTCATCCTTAATCTCATTTAATAGTGCAATATATTTTAATCTGTATAAATTCTTTAAACAAAGTTAATTTTATACCGAGATATTTTAATTCTCTCTCTCTCCAATCGACGGGGAATTCCTCCTGTAACTTTTTTTTCTCTGTCTGTAGAAGGTTTATATTTAAAATCTGTTTTAGTTGGGTTGATTTTTAAATTTGACATCTCACCATATTCTTTTAAAGATTTCACTGAGTTTGACAGTGTTATCCTTAGATTTCCTACATAAAATAACATGTCGCCTGCATAAGCTGCCACCTTTGCTCTATTTCTCCTACCCAAATTCCTTTTATATCTATATTATTCCTGATGGTAGCCAAGAGAGATTCCAAAGATAAGACATATAACAGTGGAGACAGAGGGCATCCCTGTCTTGTTCCATTCTGCATCCCAATATATTCTGATAATTCCCCATTAACCATGATTGCTGCCGAAGGTTGACTATAGTTAGTTTCCATTCTCTCATTCTAGGTCCCATTCCCAGAACTTCCAAAGTATCTAGCATATATCCCCAGTTTACTCTATTGAATGCCTTTTTGGCATCGATCGAGAAAACCAAACGCAGGAGTTTTCTGTTTCCTACTTTTTTGTATGAGAAACAATGATCTTAATCAGTTGTCTCTACCCTCCCTCCCTCCCTCCCTGGGACGAACCCTACTTGATCTATATGTATCCATTCCGGCATTAGGTCTTTCAACCTATTTGCCAGAACTTTTGCATATAGTTTAGTATCTGTATTTAATAGGGAAATCGGTCTGTACCTTGAACAGTGAGTGTCGTCTTTTCCTTCCTTATGTATGAGTACCACGTGAGCTTGCAGGGGATTCCCTCCTCATTTCCATCTCTCCTCCTAAAGCATTCATATATAGCCTCAATTTAGGTAGTAATATTTCTTCATTTTTTTTTTTTACAGTATCTCACTGTATACCCATCGGGTCCTGGACTTTTCCCAGCAGCAGTATTTTAATACTAGATGTATTTCCTCCTGAGTTATTGATGTTTCAAGGGATTATAGTTCTTTACTTAGTTTTGGCAATCCTGCCTGTCTTCTTACTGTTTTTCTTACTTCATATTCTCCTTTGGTACCCTGAGGCTCAATATTGTATAACTTATTATAATATTCTTTAAACACTTTTACTATGTCTTTAGTTGAATACACTAATTCTCCTTTATTATCTCTTATTTTCTCTATATAATTCCTAGATGGTTTCTTCCTCTGAGCCCTCAAATACTTTCCTGGTCTATCTCCCCATCTATATCTCTCAGTTGTCATTTTATTATACACTCTCCTCTTATCTTCTTCCAGGAAATTATTTAATTCATCTGTTTTATTTATTATCTTCTGCATCTTTTGTTACTCTATTTTTGTGTATCTGCTCTAAATCACTGAGTTCACTAAAAAGCATATTTATTTTTTCTCTTCTTTCCCTCTTCTTCTTTGCTCCTATCGCCATTAGTATTCCTCTGATATAGGCCTTATGAGCTTCCCCTACCATGGCTACCGACACTTCCTCAGAATCATTTTCATAAAAAAATTGCTCAATTTCCTTCTTCACTTTCTGATCCGTTTCTTGATCCTGTAGAAGTGTCTCATTTAGCCTCCATCCTTTTCCTCCCCTCTGCTCATTTCACCATAGTAATTGCATTGTGACAGGAGCATGATCTGAAACCGACATGGCTTCAATATTTACTTTGACCAGAGACTCAATAAGGCTATGGTCCAACATTATGTAATTCAATCTTGAATACATCTCATATGCAGGAGATTAAAACGTATTGTCTCTATCCTTCATATGCTTAATTCTCCAGATATCTACAAGTTGGCATTGAAATAAAAATGTTTTCAACTTTTTCAAAGACCTACTACCATCTCTCTGCACCGGAGAAGCCATGTCAATCTGTGGATCCATACAAAAGTTGAAATCTCCTGCCACAGTCAAATTACCTTTTTTAAAACCCATTAATTCCCTCAGAACATTTTTTAGAAATAACTCCGGTTTCTTATTTGGGCAGTAAATATTTGCTAATGTGCATTCTATTTCCTGTAGTCTTCCTTTCAAGAACAGGAATCTCCCTTCCGAGTCTACCAATCTCTCTTCCAACTTAAACCTTATGTTTTTCGCGAATCCTATTGCCACTCCCTTTGCACATTTAATTGGGGAGTCTACATAAAACCACTCAGGATAATATCTGGATTGTAACTTCACATTATTTTCTTGTACTAAATGTATCTCTTGTAGGAACACAACTGAGGAGAGTCTGTACTGAAGTTCTTTAAGTATCCTAAATTTCTTTCCAGGACTATTTAAACCTCTAACATTATAAGTCACAAAGTGAATCTCTTCCATTCTTCTCTTTTTCTCACCTCCTCTCATTGGAAGGTCCACAGTGCTCAGGACCTCAGACTAGGCCAAATGTTCACCTTCCAACATGACAATGATCCTAAGCACACAGCCAAAACAACACAGGAGTGGCTTAGGGACAACTCTGCGAATATCTTAGACCCCGACTTAAAAACCCTACTGGACATCTCTGGAGAGATCTGAAAAAAGGTTGTCCATTGACAATCCCCATCCAACCTGACTGAGCATGAGAGGATTTACAAAGAAGAATGTCAGAAAATCCCCCAATCCAGTGGCTAATTTGCTGTTTGGATCGCTTATCCACCTCCCGCCCGCCATATAGTAAAATAACGGCAGCAAAGTGGTTCTCTTGTTCTGGGAGGACATCATATGACGTCCTCCCATTCTCACAGCACATGCGAGGCTCAGGGAGCGCGCAGCGTGGTGATTGGCGGTGTGCTGTGTCCCTCGGACACAGTGGATAACCGATCACGGAAAGAGCCTAAGATGCTCGGTCATGTGATCAGCTGTGTCTAATCACAGCTGATCACATGTAAACAGGGAAATGCCGGTTATCGGCATTTCTCTCCTCTCGAGTTGTCACGCTGACAGCTCGAGAGGAGAGGAGAGCTGGTAATCGGCATTCCGCGGAGGGGACATGTACACTGATCATCAGGGCACTGATGATCAGTGTAGCCCCAGCAGTGCCACCTGTCAGTATCCATCAGTGCCTTGTGTCAGTGCTCATCAGTGCCTCGTGCCAGTGCCCATCAGTGCCACATCAATGCCACATATCAGTGCCTACCAGTGCACATCAATGCCACATATCAGTGCCCATCTGAGCTGCCTTTCAGTGTCACCCATCAGTGCCAGTCAGTGCTATCAATGCCTATCAGTGTGCCAATCGCCCTATCAGTGCAAGTCAGTGCCGCCAGTCAGTGCCGCCAACAGTGCCAGTCAGTGCCGCCTAACAGTGCTGCCTATCAGTGCCCATCAGTGATGCCTGTCAATGCCCATCAGTGCCACCTACCAGTGCCTCCTCATCAGTGCCACCTGTCAGTGTCCATCAGTGCCTCATTAGCGCACATCAGTGAAGGAGAAAAATCACTTCTTTACAAAATTTTATAACAAACTAAGAAAATTTTTTTTTTTCAAAATTCAGTTTTTTTTTGGTTTAAGAAAAAATAAAAAAACCCAGAGGTATTAAATACCACCAAAATAAAGCTCTTTCACCAAAAAATGATAAACATTTCATATGGGTATGTTGTATGACCGCGCATTTTCAAAGTGCAAATGCGCTGAAAGCTGGAAATTGGCCTGGGCAGGAAGGGGGTATAAGTGCCCTATAGGCTAGCAGTTAAACAATACAGGGAATTTCCGGCTGAAGAGGAAAAACAACGAGTTGATGCCTGCAACTGCAGGCATGAGCATGTTATAAGCTTCCAGACCACTGATGTACAACTATGTATTGTGATCCGGAAGTAGTTAAAGGCTCACAACACAAGCTAAAAGCAAAGATATACCTATTACAAAACAAAGTACCCAAAGCGATCCTTGTAGTGAAAATAAAATGCATAGATACATCCTAAAACATTTTGGAGGTATTTGATCACCATTGGGTCTTTTATTTTTTTGCAATACAAATGAAAAAAAAAAAAAAGACTAAAAATTTTGAAAAAAGAAACAATATTTTTTACTTTCTGCTATAAAGCATATCAAATAAAAAAATAAATACAATTTTCTTACAAATTTTGGCCAAAATATATGCTGCTGCATGTGTATATTGTTTGGTTTGTGTGAAAGTTTTAGAGTCTACAAACTATGGTGTATATATATATATATACATATACATATACAGTGGGGATCGAAAGTTTAGGCACCCCAGCTAAAAATTTGTATTAATGTGCATAAAGAAGCCAAGGAAAGATGGAAAAATCTCCAAAAGGCATCAAATTACAGATTAGACATTCTTATAATATGTCAACAAAAGTTAGATTTTATTTCCATCATTTACACTTTCAAAATAACAGAAAACAAAAAAATGGCGTCTGCAAAAGTTTGGGCACCCTGCAGAGAATATCTTGTACTGCCCCCTTTGGCAGCTTGTAAACGCTTTTTGTAGCCAGCCAAGAGTCTTTCAATTCTTGTTTGAGGTATCTTTGCCCATTCTTCCTTACAAAAGTCTTCCAGTTCTTTGAGATTTCTGGGCTGTCTGTCACGCACTGCTCTTTTAAGGTCTATCCATAGATTTTCAGTTATGTTGAGGTCAGGAGATTGTGAAGGCCATGGCAAAACCTTCAGTTTACGCCTCTTGATGTAATCCCCCGTGGATTTCAAGGTGTGTTTAGGATCATTATCCATTTGTAGAAGCCATCCTCTCTTTAACTTCAGCTTTTTCACAGATGGCATCAAGTTACCATCCAAAATTTGCTGAAATTTTATTGAATCCATTTTTCCTTCTACTCGTGAGATGTTCCCTGTGCCACTGGCTGCAACACAACCCCAAAACATGATTGATCCAACCCCATGCTTAACAATTGGACAGAGGTTCTTTTCATTAAATTCTGTGCCCCTTCTTCTCCAAACGTACCTTTGCTCATTCCGGCCAAAAAGTTCAATTTTAACCTCATCAGTCCACAGAACTTGTTTCCAAAATGCATCAGGCTTGTTTTATGTTCATTTGCAAAGTTAAAATGATGATTTTTGTGGTGAGGACGTAGAAGAGGTTTTCTTCTGATGACTCTTCCATGAAGACCATATTTGTACAAGTATCTCTTTATAGTGGAATAGTGTACCACAACTCCAGTGTCTGCCAGATCATTCTGGAGGGATCGTGCAGTCAAACGTGGGTTTTGAATTGTTTTTCTCACAATCCTGCGAGCTGTTCTGTCTGATATTTTTCTTGGTCTTCCAGATCTTGCTTTAACATCCACTGTTCCTGATGACTGCCATTTCTTAATTACATTCCGAACAGAGGATATTGACATCTGAATACGCTTTGCTATCTTCTTATAGCCTTCTCCAGCTTTGTGAGCGTCAACTATTTTCAGTTTTTCTAGACAACTGCTTAGAGAAGAACCCATGGTGCTGATTGTTGGGGCAAGGTCAGATGAGTCTAGGCATTTAAAACCTTTGAGATTGACATCACCTGGTCTTCCCAGATGATGATTGAGAACAATCCATGACACTGGCAGGTCTCAGCTTGCAAAGGGGGCAGTGCATGCTATAAATTCTGCAGGGTGCCCAAACTTTTGCAGACACCATTTTTTTGTTGTCTGTTATTTTGAAAGTGTAAATGATGGAAATAAAATCTAACTTTTGTTGACATATTATAAGAATGTCTAATCTGTAATTTGATGCCTTTTGGAGATTTTTCCATCTTTCTTGGCTTCTTTATGCACATTAATACAAATTTTTAGCTGGGGTGCCCAAACTTTCGATCCCCACTGTATATATATATATATATATATATATATATATATATATATATATATATATATATATATAGTGACAGTAGGCAGGTAAAATCACCTGGTTGTGTCCTGGATGGATGATACATTTGTCCAAGGTTTAGGCTCTATGTGGATTTGTTCCACTAGGGGGAAGTGCTGAGCCCTTCAGCAGTGAGGTAATGAGCCCAGCTGAAGGTAGTGGGTTCATTAGGGCCTCTATAAAACTGTTTAGAGAGTTGCTCTATCCTGGAACCAGATTTGTGCCTGAGTAGACTGGGGGAGCACCATACTTATCTGTGCGGTGAGACAAAGGAGACAAAGGCCTGTGTGGCTAGCCTCCAACTGATAGGGACTGGGTGTAGCATAAGGCTGTATCTAGTGGATAGCTAGGGACGCTATTGTAAGTTGGCAAGGATTTAATTTCATGTTTCTTTTTGGTTTGATGTTTTCTTGTAAATTTTCAGGGATCTCGGCTGGCCGCGGGTTTGCGCATGCGCAGATCGCCGATGCGCACTAGCCGGCGAGCGCTGGGACTTGGGCAATCGCGATGGCCGTGCATGCGCACTCGCGATCACGTGCCTGGCACCAATGAGAGCACAGGGCACACTATTTAAACCAGCCTGTGCATCTCCAAATTGCCTTATGGTCTTGTTCCTGTATTCCTGACTGCCTTGTTGCCGACCCAGCCTGATCCTGATACTGTTGTCCTCTCCTGCTCTGACCCTTGGCTCGTCCTGACTATTCTCTGCCTGATCCTGATTGCCTAACCTCCTGTTGCTGAACCTGGCTCGTGACCTGTTTATTCTTTCCCTGCCGCTCTGTACTGCCTGCTCCGCTGTTACCAACCCGGCCTGTCGGACTACGTTATACCTCTTCACATCTGGCTCTTACCTGCTTTACGCCATTGGCGGCTGCCTTTACCACAACTGATGTTACTCGGGGGTCGCGACCTGGTCCCAGGCTGCTTCAAGTCCATCCCCACCATCAGGGGCTCTGGTGAACCAGCAGACTGAGGCTTAGACTCCGCGCCCTGAGGGACACCGGCCAGTGGGTCGCTAGAGGCTACCACCAGTCGGCCCTTGACATAAATAGTGTAAATAAACCGCACCTTTTTGTTTTTCACCTACACTGTCGTGCTGTGCCTGTGCTTTTGTGTTGTTAACCCACCCAGGGGGTCACACACACACCCGCTGCCGAGCGAACCCCATTACAATATATATATACACACACGCATATATATATATATATATATAATATATAATATATATATATATATATACACACACACACACACACAAAAACACATCAGATCTCAATGGGGAAAAAATATCATGCTGGATATCTAAACTGATATGGACTGGGTAGTGTGTTAGGAAAATAAGGATGCCCCATCGTTTGCTGTATATTAAAATTATCAACCTACAGAGGATTGAATTCAAAGACACCCCGAAAAGTAAAGTGAAAGAATGATGCAGCAGGCTAATCCATTTTGCTGAAATTTCATTGCAGCAACTCAAAATGGTAGTTTGCATGGCCCCCGTGTGCTTGTATGCATGCCTGACAATGTCGGGGCATGCCCCTAATGAGGGCATTTCCTCCCAGATCTGGACCAGGGCATCACTGAGCTCCTGGACAGTCTGAGGTGCAACCTGGCGTCCTCGGATGGACAGAAACGTGATATCCCAGAGGTGTTCTATTGGTTTTAGGTCAGGCAAGTGTGGGGGCCATTCAATGGCAACAATTCCTTCAACCTCCAGGAAGTGCCTGCATAGTCTCGCCACATGAGGCCAGGCATTTTCGTGCATCAGGAGGAACTGAGGACTCACTGCACCAGCGTAGGGTCTGATAATGGGTCCAAGGCTTTCATCCCGATACCTAATGGCAGTCAGGGTGCCATTGTCTAGCCTGTAGAGGTCTGTGCGTCTCTCCATGGATATGCCTCCCCCAGACTATCACTGACTTACCACCAAAATGGTCATGCTGAACAATGTTAAATCATGTTAAATAGGAGTCAGTACACACCTGCCATCATTTAAAGTGCCTCTAATTACCCCAAATAAAGTTCAGCTGTTGTAGTAGGTCTTTCCCGACTTTTTCAAGGGGTTAAGTGTATGCCTAAAAGTGTTAATGTGAGTAATATCGTGCTACTTTTTTACTAAAGATCTGTTTGTTCAGATCTGATGAAACAGACACAAATTATTCCCTTTGTACAGAGCCCTGTGTGTTTGGCAACACAGGGCTTTGGGCAATCAGCAGGTCCTGGCCTTGAATTATTGGTTGGGATCTGCTGACAAAATCCTGTTGTGTCTAATCACAGTGGGAGTTGGCGGGGGGGGGGGGGTTCAGCCCACACCCTGAACCCAGAAGAAGTCACCAATGCCAAGTGGTTTTTAAAGCTGAATTTTAGGTTCACATATTCTTGCATAGTTACATTGGTCCAGATTGGAGCAATGTAAGTATGCATATGCCATATCTCTATAATAACCCCATGGAAGCTTGAAATTACTGTAGCGGTCACCACCACTTCAATGATCGGTGCTGGCTTCCGCATCCCATGCTGAGCGGATACTCTGCTGCTGTAAAGGTAGCCCAACAAGGAGGGGAGGGAGTTGCAGTAGTAAAGGCAAGAGATAACCAGGCAGTTAATTAGTAGTTTTGTGGTGTCACTGGTTAAGAAGGAGAGTATTTTCGCAAT